GCACGGTGGGCTTGCTCTTCCTGTAACGATCGCATGACCAGGGAGGGCATGTCTGAAGCTCAACGGATGCTTCAAACTGGAAATCTCAGTGGAGTGGATATGACTAAAACCAGTAGCTATGGGCTTGGCAGTGGCAGAAACGGATGGAGGCTTAGCTGGCATCTCTTCCTGCTACAGTTCATGTTGGAAGAGCTCTGGGAACAACCCTGGCATGCAGGGTAGTAGTGCTGCCTCCCTGTCTGCTCCGTCTGGAGGAATCCTGTGATAGTGTGGAGGGCATGGGGTGGGAAAAACAAGGCGAATGGTGGAAAAGGGAGAAGGAATGAAATCCCTGCCCCACTTACAAAGCTCCTGAAATTTTACTGTGGATGATGAAGTTCACCTATTTGTTCAGAAAACTGCTTTTCCGTCACCTTAATTGTGACATGGTATCTATTTGCTCTTCTGAGGATAACACTCAAAGGGGACCAGGTTCCCCCAGGTGGTGGTGACTTCACAAGCTTTTTGTATGGAAGAGGTGAATTTTTAAGCCCTCTCAGAACTACTTCGTGGTTGCAGTACAGAATGTCCAAGTTTTTTTTTTTTGTGTGTAAGTGGGGGTATACTTATAACAAAAACTTCATGCAAATGAATTAGCAGTTTAGGAGGAAAAGTTAAGATGCCTACTCCATCTGTGTGAGCTCCGGTAGGGAAAATGTAATTGCCCAGCAGGGGTTTTATCAGGACACCTTGCCTAACTTCCCTTATCTTATAAAAACTGCCATGGAATATGAAATGCATATAACTGGCAGCATGTATGCCTACTTATTTGCTAGATCGCCTTTCTAGACGTGCAGAATTTCTTACTGTCTTCCTGAAGTGCTCGTGGAGAAACACTGACACAGATAAAAAAAGTCAGCTAGTCTTTTTGGCAAACTGCTTTTTTTTTTCCGTTATGTTCTGTCAAATTATTAAACAAACAGCATTCTGGAAAAACACAGCTTGAAGAAACTATTCAAAGGGAAGTCCATGCCATTGCCCAAATGAGATATTCAATATGCAGGGCTTGACTAGCACTGTTCTCCACTAACTTAGGAAGAGTCGTGACGCTGCTCAGTCACACTATTTGGCTTCCAGCGGTGCCTGAGGTTACTCTGGAGGTTGACCATTCAGCCAGAGGCTAACCTGCTCAACACGGGACATCAGACAAAGCAGTGGCCAAATGCTAAACTACAGCCTTATTTATGACAGCTCTTGCTGAGTGTTAATTATTAGCTAAACGTGGTATGTTCTAGAGGCTGTTTGCACTGCAGACTAGGAAGGGCCAATTTTAGGTAAAAAGTGTGTGTTTGTAAGCAGAACAGCAAAGAAAAACAATTTGGAAGAGAATATTTATTTTCTTCTCGCTGCATACATAGCTGTCATTAATGTCATATAGCCATAATAAAGGAGTTGCATGAGCTTATTTAGGAGACAATATATCTAAACATGATTTTATTAAGACAGGATGGATTAACACAGTGATAACATAGAGCAGATGTGTAGGAAGTGCTGATTGCATCAGACATACCACTTTTTAGTAGCATTTGGACTTTTGGATTAAGTGTTTACTTGCAAAGTGTCTATATTAATCAACGTAGTAGTTTGCATAAGGCAAAATATATATGGCATAGAAATAAAATTGTTTGCTAAAGATGAAACATTTGTTGTGGTTTTAGGAACGATGGTCAGAAGAGGTTTCCTTTCATCAGCTTACAAAACAAATTAGAGTCTTAGCTCTGTATGCTTGTCTAAAAAAAAAAAAGAATATTGACAAGCTTTACACAGGATCCTATACGGTGCTTTCATTTACAAAGCAGTGCAAATGCCTCATCAGATTTAAAGTCATGAAACCATTTTTTGGGCAGTGTACGTGTGTTTTTCCTATTTCCACAGATTTTCAGTCAGCTGTTTCACGGGGATATCTATTTTAAATAAGATGGCAAAGCTTTCCCTGTGGTGGCTGCAACCTTCTACCTTCTTAATTTATAATCTCACTTTTAATGGGTCTGCCTGGAAGTAGGATAATATAATTATTTTCCTCCACAGTTTAGGTGATGGAGAATATAAAAAAAGAAATGGAAGTCTTACTGACTCTGGCCAGACTTCATCACACTTCTGAATTTAATCCACATTGGTTCCTTTGCCCTTGTGATATGTGAATCTTTGAACGATTCAATTATCTGAGCAGCTAGAGTTAAATAAAGTGTTAAAGAACAGGTAAAGTGTGGAAATAAAACGAGAATTGATCACTTTATAGTGGACTACTCCACAAACAGTCTTGACTGAAAGCCTGTGGTACGTGGTGTGACATCCGATTTATATAATTTTGAGGTCACCTCCTTATTTGGCCCCTGAATTAAATGATTCGATCAAGGCAGGCAGCCTCCCCTTTTATAGGAATGCAGGATGGTTTCCACGGCTGCTCCAGCGGGGTACGTTTGGTATTTGTGTTAGTCTTCCACAACGATGTCTGGTGACATGAAGTACAGGGCAATGAAATATTGGCATTGGAAAAATGACAGAGAAGAAGTCAGTTGCTGAAATAACAAACTGCTGTATTCTAGGGCGAAACCTTGGTTTTAGGCTGTGCGTATGGAGGCTTTCTAAGCGGGACAAGGGGAAACGCAAGCCACTTGTAATCAGGAAACAACTTCTCCCTCCCATCGCCGGAGAGGTGGCTTTCAGCAAGCCTTTCCCGTGCTGAGCCAAGAAGGAGCGTATGATTTCCCATTCAAAACTTGCTGCCCCTAAGCGCCAGCCTCACCCCTGAGTTATGCTCACTTCTGGCTTGAACAAAATGCAAGTGCGCTCCAAACAGGAGTGTAAGCTCATATCAAATAGTGTTGTGGTAATGTATAGATGGATATGTTAGTTTATATCATTTTCTGTCTGTCTTGGTACTATATGAGCCATTATCACAAGGATCTCCCAGGGTATGGGAAGCAAATATGCTGGGATTTTAATCCCAAATTATTTACAGGGCCTGATTCAAAGTCACTGAAATCAGTTCGCTTTAGTGGTCCTTTGCTACAGCCTGGATTTCTTGGTGTCCTAGAAGGAAACAGTTTCATGAATTTCGAAAGGAATGATTTCACTTCTCTGAAGGTGTGATCAGCAGTGTACCTACAAATCAGTACCTGCATCCTGAGAGCTCTGCAAAGTTCACGCTGAAGTGTTTCCCTAATGTCTAATTTTCCCTAAAGGAAGTACTTAGAGTTTTGATAAGGGACAAAAGAGCTCTAGCTGTGTTCTAAGAGGAAGAAATGCAAAAACAGGATGAAGCTGTAAAATAAAGATTAACTTTGCAGTCGTGAAACCCACTGAACTCATCCAGAACGCAGTATAATACCAAAACCCTATACCACAGCTCTGTCATAATGGATCAAACCTGCCAGATAAAGAGAGGCTATTTTAAAATTTCTCCTTCAGGGCACAGGGAAGTACTGTTCTTACACAGATAGAAAATTATGATGATGCTAAAAAAAAATGCAGATGAAGTGAATAATTAATGAATTCAAGACAAGACTGAAATATCTTCCTAAAATGTGCTATTTTTAGTACGGAGTGCTCTGCAGTGTCTGTCATGTGATCCTATTGCCTTTTGAGAGCAGGAAAACTCAGTCTGAATTAGTTTCTTGTTCCCCCCATGGACCTATAGACCCAATATATAATATCCCTTAGCATCTGCAAACAAAATGATTTTAAATGTCATGCAAAATAAAACACTAATGAGAGCTGTACTTAAAGGCAGTTTTTATAGCAGCTGAATAATTTTTGCCATCTACTTTGTGCTCTGAGCCTTTACAAGGTGACTACTGGAATGGATCTGACTTCAGATGATTCTCGCTCCAGTAGTAATCATTATTGCTGCAGTTTCTCACAGTTAAAGTACATAGAGTTAACTATCGATAGGTAGTTGCAGGATCTGCCCCATAGAGGAGGATTTCATGTGAACAAATCCTTGTTTCTTGCCTTTGGATAAAGCAGTAGGGAGTGTTGCTGTGTTTAAGCTACTTCACACATTAAAAATGTTGTAGTCAAAAGCACCTTCAAAATAAATTCCTATACAGAGTAGCTGCATGCACACGCTCACGTTTCCATGCGCAGGGTGTGCACGTGAGCGCCCAGGGAGGGAAGCAGGGTGCAAGGGACAGGGCTGCTGTGGCGGGCACCCGGGTCCTCACGGGGCCGCCGCCACGGCTGCGCTGACTATTCAGCGTTCAGCTTCTGCAGGCTGGGCTCTGTGGGGGTTGCTCCTTCCTGAGGGCCACGAGGTTCCCAAGAACCATCAAAGGGAAAGCCGGGACCTGCTTTCTGGCTCCCTTTCTTGCCTCTTGAGGTTGTCATAGCTTGAATTTATTCACCCCGTACGAAGTGTGGTCTGGACGCTGCTTCTTGCCTAAACGCATCTCACCACGTGGGCTTTGTGCTCGCTCAGGTTGTGGTTCTGTGACACCGGCAGTAAACCAAACTATGGGTATTAAATCGTATCTTTTTCAGTTAATGACAATCATTGAGTACTCCTTGCAGGGAAAGGATATAGAGAGATTGAGGCCCTAAATTGTATCCAAACCCTGCAGACCAGGGCTGGTTTCCTTTAACGTCTTGCAATTCAAGCACTTGCACTTGCAGGTCAAGCAATTGCTTATGCACGTCCAATAACATCTTGTGAGTTACTTGGGAATGATCAGGAAAAAAAAAATCTGTTTTCATTTATGTTGTTGCTGTTTTGATTTTGACAACTAGGATTTTGGAGAATCATTTTTTTGCTTCACATGCAATTATCTGCCCTTGTGATTGCTTTCTGAAATACCCAGAAGTACAGCTTTTATGTAGTTAAAATTGGGAACATTTAAATGGTTCATTTTGAGAATTGACCAATGAGGTACTGATTTTCATCAGTGAAAATAATAATTATTTTTCTAGATAGATTCTTTTTGTGGCTGGTTCCTTACTGCTTTTCCTTTTCTTTTTCATAGGAAAAATTAACCCAGGAGTGTGTATTCAGAGAGCAGTTTGAAGAAAACTGGTATAACACATATTCATCAAATCTATATAAACACGTGGACACTGGAAGACGATACTACGTTGCGTTAAATAAAGATGGGACTCCAAGAGAAGGGACTAGGACTAAACGGCATCAAAAATTTACACATTTTTTACCTAGACCAGTGGACCCTGAGAAAGTACCTGAACTATATAAGGATATTTTAAGCCAAAGTTGACAAAGACAATTCCTTCACTTGAGCCCTTAAAAAGTAACCACTATAAAGGTTTCATACGGTGGGTTCTTATTGATTAGCTGTGTCATCACATCAGCTCCACTGTTGCCAAACTTTGTCGCATGCATAATGTATGATGGAGGCTTGGAGGGAACATGCTGATTTTGTTCTGCACTTAAAGGTTTGTCCTCCTGGAGGAGAGCCTATGCCCACTCGCTTGATTTATTATGAGAGAGAGAGAGAGTGTGTGAGAGAGGGAGCGAGAGGAAAAGAGTGAGCGTGAATGAGAGTGAGAGAGAGAGACAGAGAGAGAGGCAAAAGCAAGGAGGAGAAAGGCCTGATGCATGCTGGGGAATAGACACGCTTTTAAATTTTTGATCAGTTGTACTTCGTCATATATCAGCATAGCTGCCATACTTTGATTCATCCGGATTTTTGGCTGGTGGCCTGCTCAAGTGTACGCTGCATTTACAAAGGCATGGAGGGTGCAGTCTTACTTAAACAAGAGACTTTTCAGTTAATTGCTCACTGGGTCTCACCCCACTGAGTTTAAAGCAAAGACCTCTTAGTAAAAAATAAAAATAAAAAGTTAAATTTATTTATAGAAATTCCAAAGGCAACATTTTATTTATTTTATATATTTATTTATTATATAGAGTTTATTTTTAATGAAATATGTACAGGCCAGATAGGCATTTTGGAAGCTTTAGGCTCTGTAAGCATTAAAATGGCAAAGGCCGCTATGAACCTGTGGTAAATTCATGCAAGTAAATATAAAGGTGCATGGATAAAAAAAACAATAAAAAATTAATGATAATAAATTCTAGTGACCCTCATGTACTAAAGGCGACAATCTATTTTGTGCCCATATTATTGTAAAAGTATGCACACCACTCATGACACTGAGTACTCACTCTTCTGACTGCTTGTTTCATAGCTTACCCCCAGAGGATTAAAAAGAAAACTGGGTCTTCAACTTTTTTTCTGTGTCTGTAATATTTCCTCTCTGATAAAGTGACTTATTACATCGCTGTAAACTTCACAGGTGTGGAAATTATAGGGGTTGGAATATATTCTACTTGTTAAAATCTATTGCAGATTATACCAAAGCTAAATGATAAATATGCTTTTTTTTTTTTCCTAAAGCAGGATGCCAGAAACAGCATAAGTAATCTCAACAGCTGTACTAATTTTAAGATTCCACAAAAAGCACATAATGGTTTCAGAGGGCAAGAACCAGGTTAACAGGATCACTCTTGTAAACATGTTTATTTGTGCACTTGACTATCTACTATGAAATTATACAAGTTCCATAGGGGTCATTGTAACATCTTTTATGGAAAATTGCTTTCAGTGTGAACTGTCATAATACATGATATTAGCACCCTTCTTAAAGTAAAACTTGCAAAATGAAACTAATAAATCTCTATAAATAATGACAATGAGGGGGAAAGTATTAGACTTGTTTTTTTTTCCCTAAAGTATGCTCAAATATTCCTGAACTGTAAGTGAGATGGCAGTATGTAATTTTTAAGGAATTGTAGCATTTTATGTTAAGCACGTGAGCACATTGACAAGCAGTTACCATTGGGTGTTAACCCTTAGAAAGAAGCAATTTTTTTTCCCAGTACCCTGAAGAAAAAAAGAGCGAGAAAGCATATAACACATACATTTTATGGTTGTATCCCTGAAGTTTTGAATCTGGTACCATTAAAACGAGTGCAACTTTTGCCATTGAATCTATGGGGAGAATGACTGGGTCTGACACCCCCACCTATCCTCAGAGGCACTGAGGCTGACTGGAAAGGTACTTTGGAGTAGCTGTACGTAAGTTTTTAGCCTGTTCTTAATTAAGTAATCCTGATTTGTTTTTGCTCTAATGCACACTTGTCCATGTGATATAAACGTACATTATTTGAAACCTAAATCTGTTCTGGAATAACTTATGGCTTGGTGTCCTGAACACGCGTGACCTTCCTGTACTCTAGCAGGTAGGAGAGGCCATATCTCAACTTGCAATATCAGCAATCTTAAACAAAATGTGGCATTTTTATTATAATTGTTGTGTAATGATAAAGGTACGTAAATTAAGTTAGTTGATTTGTAAGATACAGTTAGACCTGCTTATTTGTCTAGGGACTGTTATTGCCTAAGCATTTCCAGCAGTCTACCGCAGCCCACTAGATTATTTTTAACCCTTCAGAACTGCCGAAACTTGCACGTAATTTGGCTGCAGGTTAACCAAATGCTGAATCATTTGACCAGAAGGTGCAAAACCTTCCTGGACAATAGAATAATGAAACGAGCTTCTGGGAAGTACTAGGATTCATTGCTCAAAACTAAAAAGAGTAATTATACTGCAAAAAAAGAAAGGTTGCAACTCTGTTTTTTTCAGTAAATCTTTCATACACCAGAAAATTAACTGTGAAGGTTAAAAATACTATGAGTTGAGGCCAAAATACTAGGCTGTGGTCTGAGTCTTAATGTTAAATCAACCTGGATTTTTAGTTATAGGCAAATCATTACTACTAGTTGACATGTTTTATTTAATTTATTTTTTTTTTTGTATTTTTCTAAAGAAAGGATTAAAACCAAGAAAAATGTTATGAGTTTATGGCAGTCCATATAAATAAACTGTAACCAATTTACTCTAATAACCCATAATGGTGTGTAAATACTGACTTTATGTAAATATAGAAACGTGTAATTTAACATAGGCATTATTGCAAGAGTGGATGGTCCAGGAGTTGGCAGTTCGCCACTCGTTGCAGGTTCCTTGGGTCAAACTCAGCTTGTTTCAAGTAGTGAACAACAGATTTTGCTCAGTCACTGATGTAAAATGAGTTATTTCTGTTTGTTTTCTGATGGGGGAATGGGCAAAGCTGTTATCACCTGGGTGCCGCTTTGCTCCTTTGCGGAGGATCGAATGGGCACGGAGGCCCCGCCTGGCCTCCCGCAGTCCTGCTAAAGCAGGTTTGAAGATACCTTGCATGGCATAGTGGGGAAGCTTGCACTGCCGTTCTTCCTGTGCTGTGGACAAATAGAAATCTTCATTTTCTAGTGCTGTCAATCTGGCACCTTTCTTGAGCATTAAAATTCACTTGAAGAAAAATCTGAGGGAAAAAAAGAACAATTGGTGTTATTTACTTGATATTCTGTAATGGTGTGTAAATACATACAGAATTCTGTAATTTGTATAAATACATTGCTATAGAATTTTGAAGATTGGTATTATTTGCTTGATGTCCCTTCAGAGCTATTCCTTACAACTGTGTATACATGTAATTATGGGATTACAAAAACATATTCTTTTTTATTCCTAGAAAGAGCACGAGAAAATTCCAGGAAGACCAAAACCGTGAACACTTTATTTATCTTTTTTGCTAAACTGGAAGAAAGGGGGGGGGAAATCTTTTTGGCAAGAGTTGTTTTAGCATTGCACCTGAAGGAGATCTGTTAATTACTGGGCAGCATGGGCAAAAAAGGTGACTGACATCCAGAGCAATGTTACTCTACCTGCTGGCTTTGAGCTGCACCTGATAACACGACCTGCAAGCGCTCCCTGACTAAGCAGGGTGGGTGAAACCTGTCAATCAGAACTGCGCAGTGTTGGAAGTGGAAAGAGAGAAATCAAACGTTGTCTTAAACTGTCACTAGTCAGTGTAGGGCATTAACTGCCTGCCGACTTGAAGGGAAAAAAGTACTTTTCAGAACTGACTCGGTATAACGTGAATAGTGAAGATGAGACTCTAGCATTTGGAAAAATCAAGTGCTACTACTATCCTTGTGGATAAAGATAAAATAAAAGTATCTTTAATAAACATACAGATAGGAGGGAGTTGAAAAGAGGGAGCACTGCTTCCACAGCAGCCTTTAGGTATAGCAGGAGGCAAGAGAAGATGCATCCGCAGCATCTGTTTCTTCACATCTCTCCGAGTCACTTGCGCCATCCTAGTTTGTTTACGCTCTGCTTTGCATACTGTTCTTGTATCAAGTAAAGAAACAAATACAAGGTCCAGTTCTGCTACCCATAATTATAGGAGTGGAAATAAATGGGCTTACACACATGCTGAATCCTCCTTTGTGTGACCTCCCGGGCCAGCTAAGGGATTCTCACAACATCCCCATGAGCTACCTTAACCATTATCCCTATTTTGCAGACGTGGGGACTGGGATATGGCTAGGCTTTTGCCAACTGCAGCTTGTTTTTCGGAATTGCTAGACTCCGGACTGTTTGAAATTTTGATGAAACCTTTGAAAACTTCCCCCATGTTTGTGTGGATGTATAAGTCTAGGCAGCTGCATTTGGAGGTAGGGAATGTGGGGGAAGAAGTAACCAACAGCCTTGTCCTCAATATTTTTTTCCATACGGCACATTATTTTACAGGTCTGAGAACAGAAACTAGAAGACTTTTGGTTTCCAGACTTTTATCTCTGTTTTTCAACTCTCCATTGATTACCCACAGGTCAATTCTGTCCTGTCTTGGTGTTATTTTTCACCTTAAAAATAATATTACAAGGTTGTTTTACCATCTGACTCCTGAATAAGTACCTGTAGTAGAACCTGATCTCCTGTTGCCAAGAAGCTGACCAAGCCTGTCCTAGAGTTTTCTGCTGAACAGTTTGGCATTGTGAATTGAGCAGGGCAAGGCAAATTAGCACCTTAAATTTAGAAGTTATAAAAATTACCCATCAAGGACACAAAAAGACAATTAGTGATTAAAAATAAAGAAGTGAGATTGCACAAGTTGTCTTGGCAGTTCAGTCGTCAACATGAATTTTGAAAGCAGAAAATGTTTTTTAGTGGGCAGGAAATTTGAAATGAGACTACCCACCAAGTTCCACTTGCAAAAGAGTTTCTAAAATCCCGTCTTGTTGCTTTTTTTTTCTTTAATAGCTTGTGTGCCTTTTTTCTCTACTTGATGCTGTCGGAAAAGACTCTTTCATGTATTATTTCTGAAGTACAGCTACCTATGTGTAATTTTTCAGAGCTATTCTCATCTCAACCCTGGGGCAGAAAAGTTAGCATGTGATCTTTGCTTAGGACAGAGGATCATGTGTGTCACAGAGGTGCTGCTGTTGTGCTCAGACTACGGGTGTATTCCATAGGATGACCTTGTCTCGTTGTATGACTCACATAGAGGGCTACAACTTTATTTATTCTTCAAGATACTGTACTTTGTTGTTACTATAGGGGAGATTTGTGAATGACCCTCAAGCTATGCAGGCTTTACTAATCCAGTATCTCTCTCTTAGATGTACACTCACAAACATCCTATCATGGACAGCAATGTATAAAGCAGAATTTAGCTGTATATTGCTTAGCGATGCAGAGGGTCTCGTCTCACAGCCACCCCCCCCTTCCCCCCAAAAAAACCCTCCTAACTTTTCCTTTAGGCTGGGGGAAGGTATTTCTGTGTGCGATACTCACAAGTAACAACTATGACATAGTCAAAAAAATTCTGGAATTAGACTGAACTGTCAACATGTTTCTCACATTTCTGTCTTCTTGAGAAATCGCAGACCATCAAATTATGGTGATATGCAAAATATGTCCTGTAAATTTTTTTCCATATCCGGAGGGCCTAGATTTATATATATCTTATTG